CCCTAGAAGAAGCCAGTGTCCTTAACCGCTGACCCATCTCTCCAGCCCCTCTTGTGATGTTTAATTTCAGTGACGTATACCATACCTTGTGTAGCCTTACCCATGTTCAAGTGCACAGATCAGTGTATTTTTGTGTGAAAACCTCCAGAACCTTTTCTACCTCTTAGAACTGTAACTGTGTCATTAAGAAACTCCCTGGTTGTAGCGCCAACTGCCATTGTCAACCGCCGCTTTGCTCTCTGATTTTGTGAATTTCACAATTCAAGATGCCACATGTAAAGGGAACCGTGAGATATTTGTCCTCTTGTGACAGACAGGCTTATTTCTCTTAGCTCTGTGTCCTCAGGTTCACCAATATTGTAACAAACATGGATCAGAATTCCTTAACCTTTCATGGCTGAATTAAATCCTGTTGTATATATGTGGCAGCTTGTTCCTGTTTGTGTATTCTTCATCAGTGGACAGTTGGGTAAGTTCTGTTCTCCGTCAGAGCCCTTCCATCTAACAAACACCCATTGACTGCCTTTGGGAATCCCCGGTTGCAGCCAGGAGCATGCCAGCCTCAGCCGCTGCCGCCAGGAGCCTGTGCTCTGGGGACCGCAGCAGGAATAACAGGTACACTTCTTCACACTGAAGTGTGCCTTTAGAACTTGTGACATCCCATTTAGAACTTGTGACATTCCGGGATATTGGCGGCATTTCTTTGTCATGCCAGACGTAATGTCCCATCTTCTAGTCAACTAGAGCTGGTAAATCTAAATCCACATTTAAATACCGTTATAAAGCAGTCAGGACAAGTGGGATAGATCACTGTAGGTAGTTTCAGAGTCGAGGAATTGACCAGAAGCTAGCCGCCTTTCTTGGGCTATTTGGTTGAGTGTCATTATTTCTTACCTGGTCGTCCGAATGGCTTCCTGACTGGACCCCTCTTGTACTCCTGTCTTCTAAATCTCAAATGATGATGTGACGTGGATGGCATTATCCCTCTACCTAACCCTTCCCCACCCCAGACATCCTGCCATCCTGGGGAAGGCTGAAAGCCTCCTCGTGCCTCAGGCTCTGCCCACCTGTGTCCTGTGCACTGACACCCCCTCCCCCTTGGCCCTAGGACCCACCTGTGTCCTGTGTGCTGACACCCCCTCCCCCTTGGCCTTAGGACCCACCTGTGTCCTGTGCACTGACACCCCCTCCCCCTTGGCCCTAGGACCCACCTGTGTCCTGTGTGCTGACACCCTCTCCCCCTTGGCCTTAGGACCCACCTGTGTCCTGTGCACTGACACCCCCCTCCCCCTTGGCCCTAGGACCCACCTGTGTCCTGTGCGCTGACACCCTCTCCCCCTTGGCCTTAGGACCCACCTGTGTGTCTTGCACTCCTGTGCGCTGACACCCCCTCCCCCTTGGCCCTAGGACCCACCTGTGTCCTGTGCACTGACACCCCCTCCCCCTTGGCCCTAGGACCCACCTGTGTGTCTTGCACTCCTGTGTGTGGATGGTCCTATTGCCTGTTGAATGTGGTTCTTCTTAGAGCCTGCATGCATTATGTTCCTTTGGTAGAGCTCCTTCCCCCAGATAGTTCAGGGCCTGCTCGCTAAGGTCTCTGTCCAGATCTCTTACCTCTGAGCAAGGCTTCCCTGGCTGCCCTGTGTAGGATGGCTGCCTCTTCCACTAACTCTTTAACAGTAAGTACTTTAGGTGAGCATCAGAGGCCTGCTGTACATGAACAAGCCTTGCTTCCCAGCGCCGTAGAGAATCACCTGGGGGTGGGGGTGTCCACCCTACACTGTCTTCAGCTGGAAACATCTGGATGACAGGGTGTCTACCATCTTGAGCTCTGGTAAAGGGAAAGAGCATGAATGATTCACAGCTCTAAGTGTCTGTCTGGAAGTGACATTATCTTAGGTTTTCTTGGCTCAAGCAAGTCACATTGCCACCCCTAATGTCAGTGGGGCTTAGCAGCCCTTCCTTATGACTGAGAAGCCCCTGGGAATTCATAGTGGATAGCAGCCTCAGGCTTTGCCTGCTCAGGTTTTCTGTAGCATTTGTTTCTACCTGACGTATATGTCTACCTTTGTCCTGACATCCCTGCTGAACCCTAGGGCTGAGAATCATACATGGTTTAGAGTAAGTGCTTAGTGATTTTAGAGATGGGTTAGGGAGACAACCAAGGCAGCCGTTGAGTTAGTCATTGGCAGAATGGAATGGGGAGGAGGGAGGAGATAGGAAGGCCAGGCAGGGTTCTAGAGAGCAGCACTGGAATAGCTGGCCAGAGAGCTGAGCCGGTGTAAGACTTGGGCCCAGGGATCTGAAGTTCATTTGTGTGGTGTTCTCCGGTCCGGTTGTTCAGGAGGCGACGAGCCAGGTGTGGCTGTCTGTCATAGGAACAGGTAAAAGCGGAAGGAGGGCTGGCTCTCCTTTCAGGGTGTACTTACAGCACCCTGCTCCCTCTCTGGTCCTGTCACAGTAATGAGGGAGCTCATCTGCACTAGGAGAGAAACCCACCCACCAGTGGGGTTGACATGGTTGGGGAGGAGGTGTTTGCTCTTCACTTAGCTTCTTTTTTTTTTTTTTTTTTTTTTTTTTTTTGGTTTTTTGAGACAGGGTTTCTCTGTGTAGCTTTGCGCCTTTCCTGGAACTCACTTGGTAGCCCAGGCTGGCCTCGAACTCACAGAGATCCGCCTGCCTCTGCCTCCCGAGTGCTGGGATTAAAGGCATGCGCCACCACCGCCCGGCTTCACTTAGCTTCTTTAGGGACTGTGGGGAGGAGTAGTGCTGGGGATCAGCCCAAGGCTCGAGGGTGCTGGGCAGGTGCCCGACTACCAAGCCCTCATGAATTCTGACACTGCAGGTGGGTTCTCATTCTACAGGCAAGAAGAGCTGAGACTTCCATGGCTCAAGCTAATCTAAGGCTGGTCGTGCTCACAGCCATGGTGCCCTGTGTCCTGTTGAGGCCCAGGCAATAGGGTGCTTTGCTAGGTGTAGTGGGTGGCTGTAACAGCTTTAACAGTCACCCACTGCAGTTAGGTTTGGGATGTGGCAAGCCTTGGTGCAGAGAGTGCAACACTGTATGGTAGTTCCGGTAGAGATGTGTGCAGGGCCTAACCCTGGGAGGAAATAGCTGGGCTATTTCTGTATGCTTGCACAGACACTGTAACCACAAACTGTAACGGGTACGTCCACCCTCGGGGAGTTCTTATGATTAAGATACAGAATCTGAAAGGGCCCCTCAGTGATGTCTCCTATGGCCTCCCTCCTGATGTCCTTCACACCCTGAGGCAGAACTGAAGGGAACCCTGAGTGCCACAGCGTGGGGGACACTGCCTAGGCTGGTTCCCTCGGGCAGGGGAGGCCAGTGGAAGAGGAAGTGAGGTGCACACAGAGGATCCTCAGAGCAGGGGACGGGACGGGCAGTTAGGATTGGAGGCAGGTGGGCCGAGTGTGGCGGTCTGGGGAACAAGGGTGAGGTTATCATTCTTCCCAGGAGGTAATGGGAAGTGGGGTGTGCTGGTGCTGTGTGAGGAAAGAAGACGTACAGTTGTGCAGCCCTTGGGACTGCAGGACCTTATTAGCTGGAACCAGGTGAAAATTTGTGTTGTCTTTATGATCTGAAAAGTGTTTTTGTTGAGGGGCAGGTTCAGTGAGTAAAGTACTGTGTACATGACTAAAGACCACAGTTTAGATCCTTGGTTCCCATGGAGAAGCTAGACGTGGGCGTATGCTGCTGTAGCTCCAGGCTAGGGGTAGAGGCAGATGGATCCTGGGGGCTTGTCAGCCAGTCGTCTAGTGCAAATGGCAAGCTTCAGGTCTAGTGGGACCGTGTGACTGCGTCATAGAGGAGGACGGCCTCTGACCCCTATGCGCATGTCTGGAACGGGGCACACAAGCTCCGGGTACAGTGACCCTGTGACCCGGGCCCCACATGTCCATGTGTGGGAGAAGGACCCCCACATGTATCACATAGAGATCACACAATCTATTGTTGTGAATATATGTATTTTTAACTTTAAAAAGTCTTTTGGGCTAGTGAGATGTCCCTGCCCCTAAAGCTCTTGTCTCCAACTGTGACGACCTGGGTTCAATCCGTGGGACCCACATGGTGCAGGACGAGAACCCACGTTCACAGATTGTCTTCTGACTTCCATGCATTCAGTGTGTATAAATCCTCCCCTACATGTCTTGTAATTTACAATTATAAATGTACAGGGAAATGAAAAATAGTAAAACTAATCTTTAATACATTATAGCTTATGAAAAATATTAGAGACATTGAGTGCTAAAGTGCTTTGTTTCCTGCAAAAACATTTTGAATGGTTTGAGAAGCGCTGCTCTGTTGCGTTTCTAAGAACTTGTGAATTGCCGTACACCTGGGTTTGGCTGAGTTTCCAGTACTTTTCATTCCCTGTGACTTCAATATCATGGGATATGCCTGGGGGGTTGTCATGGGAAGAAGACGTTTACCTGCAGCGTGTCCTCTGGAACATCTCAGTTCCTGTCACCACAGTCACATGCTGGTTGCCTGTAGCCTTGGTAACAAGTGACCCCCAGGCTGATGGCTGCATAGGATGAGGCAGAGGTCCCAGGAGCCCCCGTGGAAAACTGGACTGGGTTCCTCCCGTGTTCATTGTGGAAAACCTCAGGAGACCACTGCAGTGAGCAGTGTTAGCACTTACACACCTTTGAGAAATTTTCAAACCACCATGTGAATCTCCGTCATCCTCAGGTGCTGACTGCTGGAAGGTACTTGACACTTGCAGTTGCTGTTTCCTACCAGGTGCTGTCCTGTAAGAGCCAGCGGACAGTGAAGCCTTTCCAGAGGGTCGTGCCTCCTCTGTCTTCGCCATTACTGCTAGCAGATGTTTTAGTAAGAGCTAAACGCCAGGGCTTCTGGACTCAGTCTTCCTTCTCATTCAGAGCAAATCAGTTATCCTGCTTTTCATCTGTGTGGGTTTCTGTTGTGTTTGTGTTTTAAACCCCAGTCAAGGATGTGTTTTCCTCCTTCCTAGACAAGGCACCGCTGTCCAAGAGCCTTTTGCTGGTCCCCAGTGCCCTGTCCCTTCTGCTGACCCTCTTGCTGCCCCACTGTCAGAAGCCCTTCGCGTATGACCTCCATGCTGTCAAGAACGACTTCCAGGTAGGCACCTGCTCCTTTGCCTCTGGGAGGAGAGGGGTGTTCATCTAGACCAGTCTCTTCTTCCTCGTCAGCCTCCCCAAACCCCCAGAGTTTCAGAAATAGTGTTTTACAGTTGTTCTTTAAGAATGTTCTTGATTACATCTACCCTGACTCCTTCCAGACCCAGTCCTCCGTGTCTCTCTCTTTCTTCTCCTCATCCTAATAATTAACTGCACATGGATGTAGGGCCATTCACTAGAGCACAGGTCAACCCATCGGGGTCACACCTCTAAAGAAAAACTTTCAACAGCCATCAGCTGCTGATAGCGCCTCCACCAGGGCTGGGGCCTCATCAGCCCCTCTCCATCCAGGTTTTGTTCGGGCCGCCACAGCCTCGACATGTCCAGGAGACATAGTTTCACGGCGGTTCTCCCCAAGTCCTGGCTCGTACAGTCTTCCAGCTCCCTCTTTGACAGTGCTACCTAAGCCTTGGGAGGATGGAGTGTGATATAGATATCTCATTTAGAGCTGAGCACAAAGCCCCTAAATTTGTAATGAGTATTATTAATACTGCATTGACAAGCACATTTTCTGGTATCTTCAGTAATGAAGATTATAATGGAGAAATTGCAGTGTTACCTTTTGCTGAACTCCCAAAGTTTATGTTTCAGGTTTTACTCATTGGAAATGCAGTTTATACTTTTAAGAGAATCTTTGGGCTAGTGGGGTGGCTCTGTCATTAAAGGCACGTGCCACCAAGTATGAGAACCTGAGTTCAGTCACTGGGACCCATGTGGTGGAAGGACAGAACTCACTCCCATAAGTTGTCCTCTGACCCATGCTGACTTCTTTATGTAGGCACAACTAACATTTTCAAAAACCAGTCTCAGCCTGTGTATTTGATGAGGTGGTTCAGGCTCGTTTGTCTGTGACACACTGAGTGATGCTTCTACAAAGGGAGTTAAACCAAGAGGAATCGCTTTGCCTTTGGAAAGAACAGAGCTCTGCTTTCCAGATTGATGCGTGGGTCTTGTGTATGGGTCAGAGTGTTAGTACCAGTTGTGTGGGTGCCCTGGCAGCCACCTTTGCCACCCTGAGCATAAACTTTCACCTCAGCTCACTGATGCCCGTCCTCCACTGTGATGCGACTATTACCCTTGCTCACATTGGAGTCACCGAGTCCCTGTGAGTGTCCTGTTAGTTCCTGTGTCATTGTCTGTGGTGTGGTGGTGCCACTCACCTTTGGCTTAACAAAAAACAAAACACTTAGATTTATATGTGCACATCACACACACACACACACACACACACACACACACACACACACACACACAGAACATACACACATATATGTTAAAACACTTAGAGTCTCACCCTAGACCAGCTGAGTAAGAAAGGCTTGGGAGGGGTGGGGGCGGCCGGAGAGATGGCTGCATGATTAAGAGCACGCACTGCTCCTGCAGAAGATGCGGGTTCAGTTCCCAGCACCTATACGTTTGCTCACAACCACCTTAAACTCCAGTTCCAGGGATCCAGCATCTTCCTCTGGTCTCCATAGGTACTGTATGTACATGATACCATTACTTTCATGTAGCCCAGACAGTCATATACAGTAGAAAGAAACAAAAGGGAAAATAATTATGCATAAAAGAGCAATTGATAGGACATTTATGTTTTAAAATTTTTGATGTTAATTAAAAAAAAAAAAAAAAAAAAAAAAACAATCCCCAGGGATTCTAGTGTGAGGTCGGCCTTGAGACTTGAGAACTTCTGGAAGGAGAACCCAACTTCTGGGTTTCATGTGGTTCACCTGCTGCACAGTTCACGGGTATCTGCTTCTGAGGTGTCTGGGTGTATTCACAGGAAGTGCTTCGGAGCAGTGAGGAGTTTCACTTCTGCCCTGGGAATTCTAAACACACACATAAGAGCATGGGCCTGTGAGGTACTACGTGTACACTAGATCCTCAGGTGATGATAAACAAGAGGGGACCAAGGCAGGATGGAGTAACTCCAGGGAGGTTGGGGATGTTTTTAGTTGTCTGGAAGGAAGGGCAGCTGAATTCGGAGTGAAGAGAGATGCTTTGCTCCTGGTGCCCAGTGAAGTTCAGCCCCTCTGGTCTGTCCCTCAGGTGTCGCAGGAGAACTGACTGGATGATAGGATATTCGCCCTGTCACAGGGTCAGACAATAGGTGTCCCTGTATCACATCCTAAGCGTCATGCCCTTGAGGATGGCAGTAAACCTGACTTATTTGAGACTAGTTACCAGCCTTATTTGACATTAATCACAGGAAAGCCAAACCATCAGAGTTCTGTGGACAGAATTCAGTGCATGTTAGGAAAGTGTTAATTTTCATACTCCTCAACTGTTCCTAGTGGCTGTCAGGATGCTTTGACCACAGGGTGGAGTTGTCTGTTAGCTGCTGTGCGTTGATGATAGGCATCACCGTGTTACGGAGTTGAGTACCCAGCAGCCTCTGAGCCCACTTATCCTGGCCCGTCTCTGCTGGCCTCGAGCCGCACTGTGGCTCTGGTAGTTGTGGTGTACCTGCAGGCGCTGTGGCATGGCTGCCTGGGTGGGATCCCTGCCCTGCCGTGGCCTTTTCCTCTTGGACCTTCATCAGAGACTTCCCGTGCGGACGGTTCAGCTAGTAGACAGGTAAATGAGACCCGTGGCCCTCCTCGGGTCAGTCCAGTACTGTGAGAATTTGGAGTTCACTGGTGATGGAAATCCTGCCTGGCGTCTTGCTTGGAGCAGAGACAGCTGTGGGCAGCTCTGGCAGGGCAGTTGTGCTGTTACTTTGTTTGGTAGGGGAAGAGGCCATATGACTTCATTTGCCTCTTTTTCACAATCTTGGCATGGGTGTTACCACCTTTCATAGCTTTATCGTTCATGGTAGATCATCCCTGTGTCCATCAGTTGACAGATGAACACATAGAACGTTGTGCATAGAGGCATTGTAGTAGTATTCAGCAGTAAGAGAATAATGAGACTCTGATACATGCTTTACTATGAACCTTAAAAATACTATTCCCTGGTTAATAAGCCAGTCATGAGAGGACAGATACCATGTGACCCCACTCATGCTGTGCCCAGCACAGGCAAATTCATAGATAGAAAGTTGGACATAGGTCACCAAGGGCTATGGGAAGGGACGCTAGGTTAATGTTTCATGGTGCAGCACTTAGGATAATAGGATAATCCACACCACTGTAGGTACTTAACCCAAGTGTAGATCTAATTAATCTTATCAATAAAAACCAGGAGTCAAATAACAGGATAAAACCTGAAAGATCAGAGAAGCAGGAGAACAACCATAGTCGCTTCCTTCCTCTTCCATTCCTCCACCTCACCTTATCACTTCCTGTTTCCTCTCTGTACAGACCTCCAAACCTCTATGGTTAACAAGTGGCTAGCTCCGCCCGCTGACTCCAAGCAAACTTATTTGTCAGAACACAAACAAAATATCACACAACACTTAGCGACACTGAGTCATGTATTGAAAAATAGTTAACATGGCAAGTTTAATCTTGTGTTGTTGCACAATAAATCAGAGGCAGCACAGGGTTAATTTGTTCTGACTGTGAAGGGAAATGACATCAGTGTTTTGCAGATACCATCAGGATCATTCAAATTGGAAAAACGTTGAAGACTCACAATAGGCCTTTGTAAAGTAGCATCTTCTTTATGTATTTCTTTGTTTTTCTCCCAGGCAGAAGATGGGTTTTCAAAGCTGATAACATTTTAATCTGCTAGTATTTATCAACAATTCCCCAAACTTGCCATCTGTGTGGTTCTTTGGTGATGAAGCTCAGATATTTTTGAACTTTTACTCAAATTGTCACAACTTTGCTTTTAAATTCAGTAGCATGAACATAATAAAATGAACATTTATTAGTCTTTTATTTCAGCTGATTCTATGTGTGAGAGTGTGTGTGTGTCCTACTAAACATCCCTTTCCTTTGTTGTTTTTTTTAAAAAAACATTTATTTACGTAGTGTGTGTGTGTGTGTGTGTGTGTGTGTGTGTGTGTGTGTGGTGGTGAGCACACCATGGTGCCTCGTGTGGGGGTCAGAGGACAACTGTGTGGAGTCAGTTGTCTCCTTCCATTAAGGTGTGGGTTCTGGGGCTTGAACTCTTGGTGTCAGGCTTGCAGCAGGTGCCCCGACCACTGAGGTTTTTACGAGGAGTTCTTTGCTGCCTTAGCAGGATGCGTCTTATTATAGTAAGCAAAGAGACTTGCTACCATCTCAGGGAATCTAGGGTGCGCTCTGACGTTAGGCATGCTGAGTTGACCTTTGCGTGTGCGTCGTGACCGCTGAGTGTGGCAGGGCCTGGGCAGAGCTCGCTCACTCGCTGCTGTTTTCATCCCTGTCTAGGTTTGGAGGCTGATATGTGGAAGAATAGTTTGCCTTGACTTGAAAGATACTTTCTGCAGTAGTCTTCTTATTTATAACTTCAGAATATTTGAAAGAAGATATGGGAGCAGGAAGTTTGCAGTAAGTTATTTGATGTTTAGCCTTCTGTGCTGAGGTTCCCGAGTGAAGTGCCCTTGTCTGTATTCTGTATTTGCATGCCTGGTGCTTCCTAGGCTCTCCACCTGCTACGTCTCCAGCCTACATTTTAGTGTTCATTCAAACTCTGAAGTAAAGTCTTGCCTATTTTCCCAAGCTGGCCTCTGGTTTTTAGCCCACCTATTCAGGTCCCAGAATAGCTGGGATTACAGGTATGCAACACTGTTCTGGCCCCTTATTTTAAAATGTCTTCCATTTTTAAAATTCAGTGTATTATTTATAATTATCTCTTAAAAAACATGATTCTAAATCTCATCTGTGGCTTCAGCATTATCCAAAGAAAAAATTTAAATTTAAGCCAATAGCATGAAAAAATAATGAAATGATGGTGGTGGTAATACACAGCATTGTGTGTGCCAGTAATAAAAATTTTAATAAAACTTTAGTTAATAAAATTCTGGTCACGTATTTGGCTTAATAGTATATGTGCTGCTTATTAGCAGTATGTTTTAACTAAATGTCACTTTTCAGCATGTCTAGAAATTCTAGAAACTAATACATATATATATATAAACAATTACGGTTTATTTCCCAATTTTGGAAAGTAACGAAACCAAATAATATAAAACTATGCTTATGCATGTATACATATATATGCTATATATATGTAATATATATAGATACAATGTGTGTGTGTGTGTGTGTGTGTGTGTGTGTGTGTGTGTGTGTATACCCTTAACCCTCTAACTCCCACGCACCCTTGAGTTCATGCTAACTAAATAGCTGTTATTTATTTTTAGGTGACACATTTTCTGTTTTGTTTTGTTTTTCTTTTTCAGTCCTTCTTGCTGGGCTCCTGGGTCTTGTCAGCCTTGTTTGACCTAATTCTTGTGGAAGCCGTGCAGTATTTGATTGGTGTCACTGTGGCCAATAATCTGCCTTCTGGATTGTAAGTAGCTTATAGTTTGGAGTTGATTGTTTAGGATTCTTAAGTCTGTTGGAAATACCGTCATTCACAAACTTTCACCAAAGGTCCTTTAAGGCACTGTGGAGGCCACACCTTTCGTCCAGGCACTTGGGATGCAGAGGCAGGTGGATTTCTGTGATTTCTAGGCCAGCCTGCTCTACATAGTGAGTTTCAGGCTAGCCAGGGCTACATAGTGAGTGTCTGTCTAGAAAAAAGATATTTTATATTTTCAGATATAGTATATATGTGTGTAAAGAAAATCCAGTGTATACTTACATATTCCTTATGCTCTTAAAATCATCAATTTCGTAGTAGTTTCCTTTTTCTTTCAGCTTTGAAATTATTTTGTAATCTTTGTTTGAGAGAGTGTCTTATATGTAGACCAGGATGGCCTCTATTTAAAGAATCTTCTGCTTCAGGCTTTCTAGGTGCTGGGATGATAAACCTACAGCCACCCTGAATTCCTCAAATTGAATTTGTTTATGTATTTTTATGATGATATTGTGCTGTTGTAATTTTATGAGATAATTAAACATAAAAATTCAAATTTAATTCACCTGGATAATAAAATAAATGTACTGAAGTTGAGTTTCTGAAGAAATTTTGGGTTATTTCTATACTTCCACCAAGGGTAGAGCAAAGTTAGTGTACAGGTAATGATAGCTGTATGCTTCCAACAGTGACAGACCAGCTCAGCTGTGCTTTCAAGTCAAACTGTTAGCGTGTGGGGTAACTGGGAGCCAAGAACAGAGTTTCCAGCACATGCAAAAGGCCTAAAGCATATCAGAGTTAAATATAGGAGCCTGTGTTTGAGAGGCACGATAGTGTAAAATTAGAGAAACTGGATATTTAAAATTCTGTGTGCACTAACTTTAGCCTTGTTCTAATTTTACAGTATGGGTTTGAGAACTGTCAGGTATATTAGGTCCCTTGATTCTAAAGCAGACTGGATCTTTGTTTTAGATAAGATATATAACAGGTGTTAAGTTAGAGTTGGCATTAACGGTGCCCTTCAACTGTTTCAGTAACGTGTGGTTCTGAATCTTCCCTGAGTGGGGATATAGGATCCTGTGTCCTCACTACTGTACAGCCTTGTTGAGTTGAATGTGTGTGAGTGTGGTAGACTGGGGAGTGTGGGCTGCTGCTCCTGTGAGCAGGGTGCTGTGCTGAAGAAGGATTCTGTGTGAACTCAGCAGCATCGCCTAGGCCTCCTTATTGGTTCTAAACAAAGGCTACTGAGTTTTGGAGGCATGTGTGTGATGTGTTGGTGTAAGAATGAGACTAGATAATAGTAACACTAGATCCCTGGAACTCACACGAAGGTGGAAGGAGAGAAGTGAGTGTCCTGTGACCTCCATATGTGTGCTGTAGCCTATGCATGTACACACACACACACACACACACACACACACACACACACACACTTGCATACACACTTACATTCACACACACTGACATATCCTCACGTACTGATACACTCACATACACATATTCACACTCACATACACATATTCACACATTCACATACACAATCACACACATCCTCACATACACTCTCACGCACATGCACACTATAAAAAAAAATCAGTGTTAAAGAATGGAAACAACTGTCACAGCTGTGCTGGAATTTAAAAAAGAACAAAACACCAAAACCTCAAAATCTCCGTTTTCTTTGGAATAAGGGTCAGACTCCACAGGTACTGTCTGGAACGGTGGGAGGGGCAGGCAGCATGGACGTTGCCATCGCAGGCTTCGGTTCCAGCTGTGCTGCTTAGTTGTAGTTCTGTGACATCTTGCAAATGCTTGGACTCGGCTGTTTCTGAGCTCGGTTTCTATCTGACCGTCACTCGTCAGTTGGAGGTGCTCTACTGCACAGGGCCACGAAGAGGGCTGGTTTACCGGCTGCATGTGTAGCAAGCCCCGTGCTTGGTTTCCCTCTTTCCTAGAGCTCTGTGATCTGGTGCTGTCCACCCCCAGCCTCCCCAGCCAGCTTGCTCTTGGCTACCTCTTGTCATTTGGCAGAATTGCTTGTCCTTTTGTATGTGTTATAGCAAATGTTTTACTAATTCAATGAATATTTGTTGCATTTGCTTATTTTCATGTCACAGAATTGTCTTCATTGACCCTCTGTGCTATTGACTAGGTCTTTGAGGAGGAGCCTAGGTCCTTCATGTACTTGGTGCACACACTCAAGGACGCCGACAGGGTGATGGCCGACGTGAGCCCCGGTCAGACTCTAAGGCCAGGCTGTTGATGGCCGCAGAGGTTGGACTGTGCTCTTTGCAGTGCTCTGTGCAGAAACTTCAGCTGACAGCTAATGGATGTTCACAACTTACTTAACTCGGAAAAAACCTCCATTGTTTTCAAAGTAGCTCCATTATTAAAAGCTAAATATGTTAGCTGTGTCTAGTAACTTGTGCTTGACACGTTGGCTCTAATAAACCTATTGTTTATTAGTTGTTAGTGTTTGTATGTAAGTATTTGTTTTCCAGAATCAAACCCCTCCAAAATAATTGAATTTGAATTTTTTCATATGTTAGAGTGTGTTTGTGCTGGTGAGATTGATCAGTGGGTAAAGGCACTTGCTACCAAGTCTGAGGCCTGAGTGTGATCCCTGGCACCCACATGGTGGAGGGAAGTAACTGGCCCGTACGGTTATTTCTACACACCTGGTGTGGCACACATGTGCCCACATGTATACATGCACAATAACTAAATATAATATATTTTAAAGAGTGCCTGACTATAGTGCTAAATAAATAAATAACTAAATACAATGTATCTTAAAGAGCGCCTGACTATAGTGCTAAATAAATAAATAACTAAATACAATGTATCTTAAAGAACGCCTGACTATAGTGCTAAACAAACGATGCTTCCATGAGCTGTTTTGTATTGTACTTGATTTCCCGAGGACCACAGGACACGTTTCATCTCATTGCTTGTGTCTGCACTCGCAGTATGCTTTCCTACACCACATTCTTCAAGGAAACCTTTTGGAAAGAGCTTGCAGAGAACTTGCCCAAGAGTGCATTTGTCTGAATAGTTGAAAGTAAGCTGTGCTGAGGCCACTTTTCCTTCCCTCTAGGCTGAGAGTCAGATGAGGGGCCTCCTCACCCGGGCTAGGCTAGTGCTCCACCACCCCGTGACTGTTACACCCCACATGTGTACCCTAAACTGCGGATTAACTACAGGGGTTCTCTCTCTCTCTCTGTCTCTCTCTCTCTGTCTCTCTCTATCTCTCTCTCTCTCACTCTGTCTCTCTGTCTCTCTCTCCCCCTCCCTCCCTCCCTCCTTTTCTCCCTCCTTCTGTCTGTCTGTCTCTCTCATGTTTGTTAAAGGATCTTACTCACCTGGCTCTTGAACCTGAAATCTTGACTATTTCCTCTCTTGAGAAGCTGCATCAGAGCTCCACCTTTGCTCCTGGGTCCTATAGTTATGAAGGTACATGTTTGTAAACATTTTTGCTTATTGTTGAAAAAATTGGTACCAGACCTGAAGGGAGGCAGAAGCAGGTGGATCTTTGAGTTCCAGGATATCCAGAGTGACATCCTGTCCCAAAACAAAAGAGTAATAATAAAGGAGATTTTGTAGAGGGAGTTGTTGAGTCATTTTATAGTTTATAGTTCGGTTCCTTTACTTTTAGACAAGACATTTCTTTATGGAGAAATCAGTTGGGCAGACTAGGGTCAGAACTAATATTCCCCAACTAACACAGCTTGGAAAAAATTTATAATGCATTTTTTAACTGTGTAAGGAGAGCAAGCTGTTGGAATTGTAAGAAGTTATTTAACCACTTAACATCTGTGTCATAGGAATGTGTCAGTTTATTGGGGCAGAAATGGGATCTCAGTTACCTTCCCAACACTTGCCGTAAGTGGGGTTTGGGAAGCAGCAGCTGCTTGCTGAAGAAAAGGCATAGAGAGGTGGCTGGAGCTCCCCATTGCCACCAGTTACGCTTTGTGGTGAGATGATCAGAGCAGCTTGTGTAGAGACCTGCAGAGCTGATGTTTAGAACATAGAATACTGAATTCAGACCGCCATCCCAAGTGTGAACCTATGTAAGGGAGATCTATCAAATTATTTTGAACAATAGCTTATTTTCCCCCCTTTCATGAGTCACTTGTGTACAGAATTTAATCAAAAAATGTTAAGCCAGTTAACCTGCTCAGATAAGGCTTGACTATGAAACCTAATTTGGGTGACCCTCCCCAAGTGATTCATGAACATGTTATTTGTATTTTTATTATTGTTTTTTGAGACAGATTCTCACTATGTAGCCTGGGTTGGCCTTCCTCTGCTGTTTGAATGCTGGGATCCCAAGCATGGTCACTACAAGTGGCTCCTGCACATGTTTCATACAAGTTGTAAGATTAAAAATAAATGAGCGTATCAGAATACTCAGTATTTAGTCATATTGCTGGAATAATAAAGTACCACATAAGTTTTAAAGTTTATTATTACTGTTTCTTTTTTTTGCCAGAGAAGGGACTGGATAGTATAGAATGCTGGTTCACTCAAGAGTAGATAGAAGAAGAGTTTTAAAGAGAGTAAAGACAGGCTGCTTGCTCTGACTTACAGCATCTCACTGTTCATGTTGCTAAGTGACCGTAAACTGCCGGCTCGGAAACTTTTTCTGCGCACACTTCGGAGGTAATTGCGGTACAGCATGACACTAATGACTCGAGCCTGGAATTGTTTGGACACAATGTAGTAGAGGACAACATCGAGACATGTGCTGAGGTTCATGAGGAAGGTGGTGAAGGCTCCCCAGGGGTTGTAGCTGGTCTCCTCCCCCTGCAGCATCAGGAAGGCGAAACAGACGTGAAACGGCATGAAGCAGATGAGCACCTGCACCAGCAGCGTGATGATGATCCGTATGGATTTCTCCTTCACCTTAGGCTTCAGCTTAGACGTCTGCCCACGTAGGAGGCTGTGAATGATGACCACATAGCACCCGATCATGATGAGCAAAGGGGTCAGGAAGAAAAGCAGGAGCCGAGTGAAGTTGAGCACATTGACAGCTTTTAAGTGGACAATGTCAGAAATCTTGAGGCAGGTGGCAGGGGAGGAGGCTTTATCGGGGTCTTCGTAGAGCAGCAGCAGAGGGACAGTGGTTGTCAGGGTCATTATCCAGACCCCCACACACGCAAGCACGGCCTTGCAAGTGTTCCTCAGCTCCTTGGCGTACTTTGGCTGCACTATGGCCATGTATCTGTCAGCACTAATGAAAGCAAGAAGCCACAGAGCCAGGCTTGGGTAAAACACCACCAGAGCCCCAAGAATGTGGCAGAAGTACTCTCCAAATGGCCATTCACCCTTTGCGTAGTAAAACATCCGAAAGGGTAGACTGAGTATGAATATTAAGTCCAGTAGTGCGACATTCATCATGTAGATGGTTACTGTGGTTCTTTTCTTGGTCGTACAGCTGAAAACCCATAATGCAGTGACATTAACAAATAATCCAATCAGGAAGATGCAGCTGTAGAAGACCAGGGCTGCGATTTTGTACTCATCTGGGTTCGAGCCGTTAGAAAGGACCAGCTGATCGCGATTGCTGGGGGTCGTCATCTTACAGCAGGCCTGTGCCCATGATGTGCAGAAACTGTCAGGACTAGTGAGAAAAGGAGGGTAAGAGCTTTGGTTGGAAACAGGTGCTGAACAATCTCTGGCTTCTTTGCTGCTAGTGAGTTTCAATTTTGAGGGCATTTCATATCACATCCCTGTACATGCCTTAGTATTTTTCAAGAACGCATACCCTAGAAGTTATTGCTATTATTTACTTTTTGTTTTTATTTTTGTAGCACTGGGCATTGAACACAGGTCCTCACATACGCTATGTACCCCACTGAGCTAAGAATCCTAGTCAGTCAGTCAGTCAGTCTGTCTGTCTGTCTCTCTCTCTCTCTCTCTTTCTTTCTTGTCTTTTTGAGACAGCGTTTCTCTGTATAACCCTGACTGTCCTGGAGCTCCCTATTTAAACCAAGCTGGCCTCCAACTCACAGAGTTCTGCCTGCCTCTGCCTCCCGAGTGCTGTGACTAAAGGTGTGCATGACCATGCCCAGACCCAGTCTTTATAATGTACTGGTCAGTTAAAATGGCCTCAGGCACCATAATGCTCTGGGAGATTCAACCAGTTTCATTGACCTTGCTCATCTCTCTTGTTCCCAAATAATCAAATTAGGAGACAGTAAGAATTCTCTGGAGTAATGGGAGAAGGGCCAATCTGGGTTTTAAATCTTATAAAATGGCTTGCCCATTTCTATCATTTTTATTCTATTTATTTTATAACTCAGAAGCAGTGTTCAGATACTTTTCAGTCACTAAATACAACCATAATTTACAAAGCGTGTATCAGAAGACTAGCAGAAGAACCAGAACAGCTGGAGACGTAGCTCGTGTGAGCAAGTAGGAGCTTGGGTTGCTCCAGCTGCTTTCTCTGCTGTCTTTCTAGCGCACAGTAGGTGTGCTCAGTGTCTGCGAGTGTTGGGTGAGCTGACCCTCGGCAGCTCTTTGTCAGCCTTGTCAGTGAGGTCTCGTGTAGTTCCCTGTTGATCCCACACCCTCTCTTTTGAAGTTGCGAACATTTCTTCCCAGTGTCATCTTGTACTCTCTTCAGATTGTTGTAGGTCTAGACTCACTGCTGTTCTGTGTCGTGGTCTGCTAGCATCCTAGAGCAGCAGGTGTGCAGTTGGGAGCACCTGAGGCAGGGGCTGCCGTTTATTGTTTACCAGAGTCCTGTAATTTGAGTGCTGCGCATCAGTGGGACATAGAAAGCCGTGTTTTGAGGGTGTTTTTCTAGTCTAGGTCCTTCCATACTCCTGCCCTGCCTGGATGAACATAAATTCTGTCAAAGGGAGGGAGGCCTGCGAAGTCCTAACATGGGTAAAGTTTGATAGTGTTTACAGATAAGCAGCTGTCAGTGTGAAATCCCCTCACCCGGGCTGTAATGCCAGCAGACTTTAGAAATACTCCTATGCAGAGATGGAACCTGGGGGCATATGAGAAGTTTCTTTAAAATGCCACTTTGTAGGGTGCTTATGTCTACTGCGCCCTGAATATCTCTTTAGTGAAAACTATAGGGAGGATTAGCAGCCCGTGGTCAGGTGGTGGACTGAGCAGTGCTGTGGACAAGGACGTGGTCCGTGTGTCCTCCCCCCCTTTGCTGTCTGTCACGTGTTTGATTAAATGTGATTTTGGAATAAAATCCTATATATCTAAAACCTGTATGAAAATTCCAGATGAAGCAGAGAATGGTGGCAGAGGCACCCGACCTCAGCACTCAGAAGGCAGCGGAGGCGGGGAGTCCAGGCCAGCTAGCAGGCCCTGTCTAGAAAGCGCCGCCAAACATTTCTATAACTAGAACATTAGTTTCTACCCAAATGAGAAAATTACTGCATAGAAAAGTTAAATATCATTAATCAAAGGAGACTGGCTTAGAGGCTTAAACATTTTAACTCCGTGGATTTTACAGTAGCATTGCAAAGTAAATGAAATTCCATGGTCTTCCCTCCTCCTCCCTGATACTGCTGTGGAAACCCTTATTTATAACCCATCTTGGCTGTCCTGTCTGTTCACCCTCCCTCCTGGGCTGCTTTTCTGTAGTCTACTTATCACCAATCTTACTTGTTTATCTGCTCCAGTGCCATGTGTGTGTCTCGATATTACCGTTACAGGCTGTGTTCTGCAGGGTTTTGGGTAAGTGTTAAAAACTGGCTGGCTTTCAGGTTAACTTTTGAAAAGCTTAATTCCATGATTACCTGTAGTTTTGCCTTAAAACCAACTAAATTCGTGAAGGAACATAATTGAAACCACAAGACAGAGACATGGAGATACGTTGTGATGCGTCGTGTTATCAACATTACACTAAATGGAGGGGGAAAGACAGTGAGGCCTCGGCCTACACAGAGAGCTGCTGGAACTCCTGTGCTGAAGTGAGAGAGAGGCCTCCCCAGGGAAGGGCACACCAGTGGTTATCCTCCCCAGGGAAGGGCACACTAGTTATCCAACACTGAATGGCCAGCCCTGAAAGCATACATACAAGTCACATACAGACTGAGCAGGATGGATCTGTGTGTGTGTGTGTGTGTGTGTGTGTGTGTGTGTGTGTGTGTGTATGTAACAACAATGAATGAGAAAGAGACCATGAATTTGAAAGAGCAAGGAGGTGTATGTGGGGAGGTTTGGAGGGAAGAAGGGGAAGGAAGTAATGAAGTAATTAAAATTCCGCACTTACTATTAACATAAAGTACTGAAAACGAGCACCAAACCATGGAAGAAGAGTAACCTGTTGTTCCGGGTGTCATCAGAAGAAACGGAGATTTTGTTCGTAAACACAGCGTTCCTCTGATAATAATTTACCACGAAGTCACTGGGTGAAGCTTACCTCTGGTCAAAGCGCTGTCTGAGAGGTGACCGTCTGCCGATGTGCCGGTCCTGGAGAGTCCTCAGGGCTTGTTTCACAGATGGTGCTTTGTCTCTGCTCGCTGTAGAAAGGTTGTTGGAGATGTAGTACCGATACGGCGTTGTCTGTTGGGCGGAGTGCTGCACTGCCCCTTTCAGGAAATGCTCTGAAACAAAGTTCTCAGCGTGGGACTTTACCCTGGATGTGGTTTTTCTCTTTCACTTGTGATTTGTTTATTCAGAGCTAAAGAAGTTGCCTCATTTTAAATGCCATATTCTGTAGATCTCTGAAGGGTTTGAAGATGACCTGTCTAAAATATATCTGCTCAATTTTTAAAACATATCTAATATGACTACAAGTTCTATTGTAATGTCTAACTACTAACTTTCATTTCTTTATATCCTAATAGTTGGTAATAATAACATTCAAGGATCAGAAAATTGCATTGTTAAATGAACGGTATAAGTACAATTAGAAATATACATATAGCATTTTCTAACAATATCAATTTCAATATATATATAATTTGTATACAATATAAAACAATCCAATCCAATGTAAAATATTTAAAACTAGTAATTGTCTTTTTCTTCTTCTTTCTTTCTTTCTCTCTTTTTTTTTAAACAAGAACCTTAAATCTAATCTCCTTTGCTTAGCCTTTTTCCTAACCCTTGACAACAACTTGTAACCAACGCCCCTAAACAATGAAAATTATCCCAGACCCAAAACCCATTAAAGAAGTTGCCTCAGACTGTGTGGCAGTAGACAGTGGGTCAAAGGTCTTTGCCTGCAGGAAATTCTTACTCTCACACCAGAACTTCGGGACTGACTATTCCTGCAGTTTTGATTTCCTGACTATATTTTGGAATGTGAGAGGAACTGATCAACTTGATTCTTACCAAAGAGGGATTTCTTATATTCCCAGGGACTGTGGGTTCCCTTCACTTTATGAAATGTTTTGGTCTCACTTTGGGTTTTGGTTTGAACATTAAAGACTGTGTGGGTGAATTTTTATTTTAGTACGAGAACCCAGTTTTTTTTAATAAATATGATTCAGTTAAGACACCACTGAAAGTAGAAAGGGCGTTACTAGATGTCTGCAGCCTGTCTCCGTGTAAGACAGTTCCTTTGTTAAAGCTTTGCTTGTGCCATGGACACACTGATGTTTCATGGTCTTCAATGGTTCACAACCATAGTGAGTGTCAAGAGCTGTTTATCCTGATTGTCCTCTCCCATCGCTGTGGCTAGCGGACTGCTGTAATACTGTTCACCTGGCCTGGCCTGGCCTGGCAAGGGACCGTGGACAGCAAGCCCTTAGTGATTGGCAGACAGCCAGTCCCCAAGGAGAAGAGTGAGGATGACAAAGTTCTGTGCTGGTGGAGGAGCCCTAGCCCCATGGCCCAGCACTCTGATTTGACAAGGAAACCCTTGTCTCTGCCTCTCACTCTCTCAGACTCATTTCTCAACTGATTGCTGCTTCAGAAGGGCTGGGCTCAGGGTTGAAGGTCGGGGTGTTTTCGAATAGTAGGAATTTCTGAATAAAGTCCGAGAGATTATCTAAATGTATTTTTTAATCCCAACGATTTGTAGGCATTCTCTTACTGCCACTTTAGAATGAAGAGAAACTTTAAATTTCCTAAATTGTCTTGTGAATTTAGTCTTCCCCAATTCTGTCTCTTTTGTGCATCTTAAAAATTTTAGGAATATATAATAAGACAGTTACTTACCTCATAAGAAGTGACTTGAGCCCAGATATGGCAATCAATGTGACAGATAAGTTTAGCTAACTAAGCATCAAATCATAATCTGTCACTAAGAAATTCTCAGAGAGGACTCCTCCTGGGCAGTTTACCAGTCCTGTAGCTCCTGAAGTCTTGTAGGACCCCAGGGCAAGAGTTCACAGAGGTGTTCTCCCTGAGAACCAAGATCCAATAGAGAACCCCAGGGCATTGTGATGCACTTGAGATTTCAGTTAAAGGAGACACACCGAGAAAGGAGGGTGTGGGGTGCCACATCTGGTACCGGGAGTCACCATTCAGAAAAAGACCTGGGTGGGCCAGTGCTGTGATTGGATCCTCAGTGTCTCCCAGAAGTCCCAAACCTTAGTCCTCAGCCTGGAATTTATTCCCAGAAGGTGGTAGAGACGTTTAAGAGCTGGACTTTAAGTGGGAGGTTCTTGGGGGCATGCCTTCAATATGGATCTGAGATGCAGCCATGACATAATGGTTTGCTCTGCTGGGTATTCCTTGCTGTGATGTGATTCCTTTCCACAGGCTCAGGGCAGTGGGGCCAGTCTCAGACCAAAAGCCTCTGAAACTGAGCCAAAATAAAACCTTTGTTTTATTTAGAAGTTTATCTCGGGTCCTTGTGACCAACACTGAATGATAAAGAAATAAGAACTTGGTTTCCAGGTTATTTAAATAGAGGTCTGTTTCTTAGTATGTGGGAAATGGAGGATTTTAGTGTACAGGCTTCTGCATACTAAAAGTACATCTGAACATTTGTTAATTACTTGGTTTTTTTCTACCATTACTTACATCGTTGAGAAGGGCAGTGGAAGTGCTCACCGTCAGGCGTTGCTTCATACCCACTGTCTCCCTCAGTTTCCTGCAGTCTGTCCCCAAAGTGTGTTGAAGACTGTGGTTGGAGTTGGTGGCATGACCCAGGGGTTGTTTGCATCTGGTTTTCAGGCTGTTTGCTCTGTTCCACATTGTGCATTGTGGTTGTATACTTATCTTAGCATTGTTACAGTTGGTTCTCGGAAATAGCAATTTCTGAGGGAACAGATAGGCCTTTCTTTCTTGTTCTCATTTCTCCACAGAAGACTCCATAGCTGGATTCTCTCAGCCAGTAGATCCGTGTCTAGGAAGAACTCTGCCATCTAGTGGTCAAGATGAACAGGCCCTCAAAACAACAACAACAAAAGCCCCAACAAACTAGTATGTCTACATCATCAGCAAACACACACCTGCTAACTTCATTTGTAGTCATGAAAATGAAAACTAACCCTGAAAAATAACATTACCCACACACCAAAATACAGACAGGAAGGCTTACCTGTGTATGTTGCTGGCAGGAGTTTAAACATGGAACACCCTTTGATATTAGGTACCAAAATTGAGATGTACAGATGCCATGGCTTAGGCGACTCCTTGATACCTAGCCACTGAGATTGTATGTTTATGTACCCCAGGAGCTAAGCAAAACACCCATAGCAGTACTGTATATAACAGCTCCAAAGTAGAAACAGCCCGGCGTTCACCAGCTATAGAATGGACATCAGGTGTGTGCAAACGGTAGGGTGTTGGCCATGTTGACTGATGTACCTGGAAGAGGCAGCTCCCCACATGGGTGACTCTCATTACAAAAAGGGGCCTAGGAAAGAATCCCTAGTGAGTAATTTCCGTGTTTTGTGACTTCCACGAAGCAGACCAGGCTACAGTAAGTATGTAGGTATCCACACTTGGTGGTCACTGCTTTGGTAGACAAGAAGCAGCAGGTGCCTGTGTGGCAGGACCCTAGGACAGTTGCTCAGTAACCCTCAGAGAGGCAGGCAGGAGGTATTAGCACCCGGAAGGAGAGAGCCCTGTGAGTCAGCTGTGTATGGAGGAGTGGACTAGGCTCTCTTGCAGGAAAGATCCAAGGAATAAAAAAATGAGCCCTCACCTCAGACACCTGCTAAACGCCCTTTGTGCTCCCTTTTCAGGACTCAGCTGGAAACCAGGAGCTCTAGCCTTTGATTACAATTCACAGGGACAAAGCAAGGTCCAGAGGGGAGAGACGCAGTTTCTGTGTGTGTGGTACATTCCTTTCCTATTCAGAAAGACCTTGGCAAGAAACTTTGGGTGCCAGAGTTGACACACTGGTGATGAGGAATCTGCCTCTGAGGCTGTTCCCATGGGCACAACTTCTACCACCTGGGATCTCTGCAAACTCGCTTGTACGTGGTAGCTTCTGTCCTATGTTCTGTGGACACCAAATGCTAGTTGTCTGTAAATGGAGGCTTTTCTGCCTCCCGCCTGGTTTCATAGCCACTTATACAGTAATCACTCAGAGGCTTGATATTATTTATAAATAGTTGGCCTATTGTAGCATGAATCTTAAAGGTCTTATTAATAAAATCAAACCTGAGACCAGTTATTGGGGTGAATGCTGGAAGATCAGAGAAGCAGAACAAGCCACAGCTTCCTCACCTTGCTAGTTCCTCAGCTGATTCTGTTTCCTCAGACTAGAAGCCTCTCAGTCCTCATCCAAATGGATCTCAGGTGAACTGCTGCTGGAAGCCTAAAAGCTTAACCAGCCAAATGCTTCTAGTTCTTGGTTTCTCACACCTTATATACCTTTCTGCTTTCTGCCATCACTTCCTGGGATTAAAGGCCTGAGTCACCATGCTTGGCTGTATCCTTGAACACACAGAGATCCTCATGGATTTCTGCTTCTGAAATGCTAGGATTAAAGACGTGTGCTACCACTGCCTAACCTCTATGTTTAATATTGTGGCTGTTCTGTCTCTGACCCCAGATAAGTTTATTAGAGTGCACAATATTTTGGGGAACACAGTACCACCACAACCTATTGCTCAGGCTTATTATTAACTAGCTCTTACAACTTAAATTAACCCATTGCTATTCATCTGTATTTTGCCACGTGGTCGTTACCAGTCTGCTGGCATCTTGCCCCTTGGGTGGTTGGATGGTGTCTGTCCCGACTCCTCCCTTCTTCTCCCTGCATCTCTGCTTGGATCTCCCTCCTGGCTCTTATCCTGCCTTGCCATAGACCAACGCAGCTTTATTTATTAACCAGTGGTAGCAACACATATTTGCAATCTACAGAAAGACATCCCACATCATTTCTCCTTCTCTGTCTAATCAAAAAGGAAGATTTTAACTTTAACATAATAAAATTACATATAACAAAACAGTTATCTGTAGTAGATTGTTTTAAGGTGTGTTACTTTTGTTACTGTGCCTGTGTAAAACATCTGATGGTCTAATAAAGAGCTGGCCAATAGTAAGGCAGGAGAAAGGATAGGTGGGGCTGGCAAGCAGAGAATCTATAAAGAAGGAGAAATCTGGGAGAAGGGAGGAGAAAAGAAGGAAGTAGCTAGAGAAGGAGGAAGACATCAGGAACCAACCACCCAGTTACACAGCAGCCATGAGTAAGAGTAAGATTTACGGAAGTAAGAGAGTGGGAAAAGCCTAGAGGTAGAATGTAGATAGGATCATTTAAGTTATGGGAACCTGGCAAGAAGCAAGCCAAGCTAAGGCCAGGCATTTATAATTAAAAATAAGCCTCAGTGTGTGATTTACTTGGGAACTGGGTGGCGGGCCCCCAAAAAAGAGCAAAAACAAGAACAACAGTTATCAAGCAAGAATTATAGTTATAATATTTAGTCTATTTGTATTTGGCAAAAATTAAAGAAAATATTCTCTCATCTATCCTATCTTTGTGAGTCTAAAGTTTCATATCCAATTTATCATAACTAAGGAAAATTGTAATTATAACTATCTAGTCTTCAGGTCCATCAAAGACCCCAGAAGGATATAATATTACCTGAGTAAACAGGAAGTGCATTTTAAGCAACTTCCATAATTCTAGAAATGAGAGAGACATCTGGCTGCCTAGACAGTCACCCAAAGTTCCTCTGCAACATTGGGGCATCCATCTTTAGCCTACAGGCCTAGAGTATCTGGCAGATTTCTCAGTGAAGCAGGAAATTTGAAGGACTGTCCCACCTATTTTGGCAAAATTTGTCAGTTGCTTTTTTATGTGGCCTGCAGAATGTCTGGCAGACTCTTCCATGAAGCAGGACCCATGAAGGACCATCCCATCTTTTTTGGCAAGTTCAGCAGTCACTTTCCTGTGGGTCCTGTATGTCCAGTTTATATAGCATACTGTCAAGCAGTCCAGGCAAGAGCAGTTTCTTGCTCAAATGACTAGCCTTGCCACATTGAAAGCAAACTCCATAAGGAGTTTCTTCAATGCCTATCATCCTCTTGAGGTAATTGGTGCTGCCAGTC